TCCTGTAAGATGCAGGAGGCCAGGAAGATGGTTGCAGAATGACAGTGGGCAAGTGATTTCATCAGCAACATCTAGGGAGCCCTGGTGGTGCAGTGGTTAAGAGCTCGGCTGCTAAACAAAACGTTGGCAGTTCGAATCCACCAGCCACTCCTTGGAAGCTCTGTGGGGCAGTTCTACTCTGTCCTGTAGGGTCTCTGTGAGTCAGAATTGACTTGATGGCAGCAGGTTTGGTTTTTTGGTTTGGTGTGTAAGGAGCCCTGGTAGCACAAGGGTTAAGGTGCTTGACTGCAACCAAAAGGTTGGTAGTTAGAAACCACCAGCCACGCCACAGGAGAAAGATGTGGCAGTCTGCTTCCATAGAGATTTACAGCCTTGGAAACCCTACGCAACCACTATGAGTCGGAATCAACTCGATAGCAGTGGGTTTGGAGTGGATTTGGGTATGTGTTAAGTACTGTACTATAGGACAGAAGCATAATATAATGTCCTGCCTTCAAAGGTTTTGTACTCTGTGTGGGAAGGTAAAGCAGAAATATGTAAGAAGTTAAATACCAACACCATAGTAGAAGAAATGTTGTGAAATTCTAAATGCTTGTCAATGATATTGTAGACCAGATGTTGGCAAACTTTGTCTGCAAAGGGCCAGATAGTAAATATTTTAGATTCGTTAGTCATAAGGTATCTGTTGCAACTGCTCAACTCTGCTGTTGGATCTTGAAAGTAGCCATAGAGTATAGGATAAGTTACCAATGGGCATGGCTGAATTTGACCTCAAGACTTGTTTGAGGTAAGTTCTCTAGATTTTGGAGGAGAGAAAGGTCATTTCCACTTAGGGTAGCAATGGAAGGTTTTACTGCTTAAGTTATGACTTGTGCAGGGCCTTAAAGAATGACTAGGATTTCATTCGTGGAGAGTGAGTAATTGAATAAAAGGACAAATTAGGCAATGTTAAGAATGGTTAGGAGACACTGCATAAATCAGCGTGGCTAATACTTAGACACTTGGTTCCTCACTGGCTATATTCTTATAATAAGGGCATTTCTGAACATAAAGAACTAGGTAGCTTTGTCCTTAAACTTATATCCAGTATGTTGGGCAAGTATAAAGACATAATCACCCCTACCAGGGTTGGAGGGTATGGATGGGGACCTTGAGTAATTGCTCTATTTTTAACCTGCTTCTTGCCTGGCAGAAAGGTAATTGCCTGTTCTATTCAGGTAACAAGCCCCTGGGTGGTGCAAATGTTTAATGCCCTCAGCTGCTAACCTGAAGGTTGGAAGTTCAAGGCCACCCAGAGACACCTCAGAAGAAAAGTCTGGAGATCTATTTCTGAAAAATCAGCCATTGGAAATCCTATAGAGCACAGTTATCCTCTGACAAACATGGGATCACCATGAGTTGGAATCAACTTGACAGCAACTTGTATTCTGGAAACAGATATGCCTGATATAGTGGGGCAATTGGTGGTGATCCTCTAGAGTTAGACTGTCTAGGTTCACTTCCTGACTCTACCGCCTATTAGCTGTATAACAGTAAGGGACTCAATCACTGTTTGCTTCACTTTCTCCATCAATAAAATGGGTATATAATTATTGTTATGAAGATTTAATGAGGTACGCCATGTTAAGTGCTAAATATAGCAGTATTAACAATAGTACAAGCTTAGTAAATGGTGGCTATTAT